CCCCAAAAATGTAATGCTCATTTTTGATTCAAAATGGAAATTTATTTTATTCACAAGATAATTAACTTTAATTAATGATATACCTCCTACTGATGACCACAGATACCCATCATTTCTAATGTCTGTGAGAGAAATAGTGGTAAAAATGGCAGATGTCATCAAATCGGGGGTGTCTTCAATTTTTGTCTTAAAATCAAGTTTAATCTTCAATTAGGAATTGAAAAATTGGTGACACAATGGGAGACAGTTGTCAATAATGATGGAGAATATATCATTAATTAAAGTTAATTATCTTGTGAATAAAATAAATTTCCATTTTGAATCAAAAATGAGCATTACATTTTTGGGGCCCTGATATAACTAATTGTGTAAAACTTAGAAATTGTAGTTATATTTAAAACATTCAACATACGTATATAAGTGGAAAAGTTTCAAAAAGTGCTGACTATGGTGAGCAAATTCATACTGACAACGTACTCAATAATACAGGCGTATATCATGAGTAAGAGCGCGGGCGGCGTTTCCATTCACTCATCGGGGCTCACGTTTAAGGACACAGAGCTGTACGCCATCCGCAATGAGGCGACCGGTTATTACATCAGCTATAATATAAACACTTATTTTCAAATGGTTGACATACAGTGCTCGGGTGTACGCCGACTGCTCGGCCGCGATATATGGCATTGGGTTAAACGTATTGGCGATTTTAAGCCCAATCTTTATAAGATTACCTTCTTTGATGACACCGCTACTGATGCTAAGATTGTTAATTCGGCAGATATTGGATACGTCCGTATTTATAGAACAAATTGCGGTAAGGTGATAAATGTGTTAAATAGAAATGGTGATTTGTTTGTCAGCTATTTTACAAAATTGTAATATTAAGGTGATGGCACATTACCCTGGCGCCATGAACAAAAGCTCCTTTGAGCTAAATTACAATTACAGTCATAATAAATTAAAATTATTTATTAATATCAACACAAAAATTAATAAAATAAATAGTAAATATACCTATAAACCAAGATTATAACCACGATTACTAACATTGCATATAATGCTATACTTATGTAAGCCAACGGTCGTGCAGAATATTCTGTTACATCTTGGCTATCAGTAAACGCTTCGTAAATCTCTTTATTATGACCTTAATTTAAATTAAAATACAAAATCATATGGTCATTAAACTATAGATAAAAGATTAATGTAACTATCATTATTTATATACAATTATTAGAATTACTGGTACATTACCTGGCTTTTTAAAAGCATGGTAAGTGAGATTAAAGCCACGCCTGGGCTTATTATGATCGCTATTAAACATTATATGGATCTCATTGGACACGAATATAATCTGAGAAGGAATGTTATCTCCTGTATAAGTGACAAAACTGCTGTTCCTATCGAAGCCGTCGTGAATACGGAGATAATTGAAGTTGTAATCGGTCTCAAAGTCAGCGAATGTGATCATAACCATCATGTCTGAGGGCACAGATATGTTCCACACGCATACCAGTGCAAAAATGTACTCACGTGGGTAACCGGGGCTTACTATTTCCATCCTGGTCGCATTTAGTGTAAGTCCACAGCCTATCAATTATTGCTAACATTAATTCATATGAACTTTTAATTAATATAAAATTAAAATATTAAGAACATATCTGAATTGTGAGTAAAAACAGAAATATTATAATTGGACTATGATCGCTTTCAAAATCATGTTCACCTTATCATAACTATTTAATATAAACATAGAAATTAAATAAATGTTATTTAGCTTTTTTTCTTTAGTTTCTATCTTTTCTTTTCATCATAATATAAATATAACTTTTCAACAAAATATGATAACTACTCAAAATTTAGTTAAGTGTGTAAAATTATATTATTTTGATAAAACCAAAAAATTAAAACATATATTAAATGTGAACCGTTTATAAAATAAATTAAATTTAATACTTATATTTAGTGATGCATTAATTTTTTATTTAGTGTTGTGATTGTTAAATAAATATAATCAAATTTTCAAGAAATACTGTTATTCATTAATTTAAATTAAAATTATCATGAATTGTAATGAATGGTCAGATTGGGAGATAGAGTTATTCAAGAAAGCGAGAAGAAATGGGTTAAAGAGGTAATATCTAGTCATTCAACAAAATCCCGCCCCGCGGTTTTTTAAAAAATACTGCAAAACGAAATGAGCTTGATCAAATCTGTAAACTGCATAATGATGGTAAATACTATATGGGCAGGTGAAAAGGAGACTGAGTCATCTTGCTAATGCTTTTTCTACGGGGAAAAAATGTTGCATAACTTAAAAGATACTTGGTCTATTTTGACAATCTATATACCAAAATGTTTGTATTAAAATATGCTTCGCAATGTATATCGGGATTTTAGTAATAGATCCCTAATATTTGAGTACTTGGGATTTATAGCTGTAAAAGTGCAATATTTAAAAGACTTGGCATTTAAAAAGTACAAAAGCTATTTTAAAGAATAATACACCAAATTGTTAAGAATTAAAATTAGAAAAAATTTATTTCTTACTTTTCTCATATTACGATTTTAACATATATTTATATATAAAAATTTAATTTTGTGAACGTTTCATACGAATATTAGAAATCTCAAAAATTAATTTTTTATAATTTAAATTCTTAACAATTTGGTGTATTATTCTTTAAAATAGCTTTTGTACTTTTTAAATGCCAAGCTTTTTAAATATTGCGCTTTACAGCTATAAATCCCAAGTACTCAAATATTAGGAATCTGTTACTAAAATCCCGATATACGTCTCGAATCATATTTTAATACAAACATTTTGGTATATAGATTGTCAAAATACACCAAGTATCATTTGAGTTATGCAATATTTTTTCTCCATAGAAAAAGCATTAGCAAGATGACTCAGTCTCCTTTTCACCGGCTCATATATTAAGTATTTTTGTATAAAAATTTATTTAAATCACGTGACTATAACAAAGATTTTTGGGACATTTGAAATATCATTGATTTAACCCAGTTAAAAAGAGGTAAAAGAGTGGCGGGTATATAATTTTTAGAAAGCATTTTTAATAACCACCCTCATCGGATTGCTAGATTTAATACAGTAAGTTAACAAACAATGGCAATTTTTGCATGTTAACCTATGGAGTCTGTGACATTTGCTCGAACCCCACTTGTTCGAAACCCACTTGCTCAAATACCACTTGCTCAAATACCACTTGCTCAAAGACACTTTCTCGAACATTTATGTCATTTTCAATGAAATAATTATTGTTAGACACAATATTATATGCACTGCAAAAATATAAACGTATTAAAATATTTCAATAAATATTGAACATTTTGTAACGAAAATAACAATCTATTAATTATTTGATGTCTTATGTACATTTTATATAGTAAAAACTAATTTGATTGCAATAAACTTACAATTATAGTTTGTAAATAATGTTTTAATATAAATAGTATGCTAAAAATGACATTTATAAATTTTTGAGCAAGTGTATTTCGAGCATATGACTTTCGAGCATGTGGGTTTCAAGCAAGTAGGATTCGAGCAAGTGACTTTCGAGCAAAAGTCTACGTCCCAACCTATGGGATTAATAATAATATTTAAATCTAATTTATATTTTTAGTCTTGTAGGTTAAGATGCAAAAGTTGGTCTAGTTATTTCACTTGCTATATTAAGACCAATATAACGATAATGGTGGTTCTAAGTTATTATAACACTTTGATATTTTGTAATTCAAACCTAACCCCCACTCTTCTTATAATAAACACACTAGTCTGTAATAATTATTATAGCAATCTCCCCCCTCTCCGGCTTCCCTTTCAACATGGTTAACACCCTGACATTGCGAAATGTCCCAAATATCTTAATGTTCTATTCACGTGAGCACAATAAATTATTTTACAAAAATACTAGATATATGGATCATCATTATTAAAGCATTGATTTTAAGTTAAATAACTTTTTGTCCCGAAAGCGGAGAAGCTCCTGAAAGTTTGGTGGCATACCATATACCCCCTCAAAAATATTTTTGAAGATTTTTATTTAACTTTTTTAGCAGCTTTTGGGACGTTCTTACCTTTAGTAACTTATAAGTAACTTTTTGCCTATTTTGCAAATTTTATACTTCATTAATTGATAAATCACAAAATACTCAATGAGTCAAAAATGAAAAAAGGTGTAATGTAATATTAAAGTTTTTAGGTCATAGTTTTTAGTCATAATCGGCTCTTTATTAAACGTTTTTCGACTTATAAACCGTTTTCGACTCAAAAAATACTTTGTGATGTTATCTAATTCAAAAACCAATGTTATGTATCTTTGAATATATTATATTGATGCAAAATAAATAACTTTGTATCACGTTTTTACAAACTTTTTAACCATTTTAAAGTAACTTTTATAGTGACTTTAAGACTGGTTTTTGTCATCTAAAAGTGAATCCTTTAATCATTATGTACTTTAGAGATTTGATATAGCTCATTTTGTATGGGAGTAATTTAAAAAACCGTAAAGCTTGATTTTGTTGTATGACTAGAATAACAATTTTTGTTTATTAAATTATAATGGAAATCAGTTATAACTCTAAATATAATTTGCAGACAAATTAATATTGACCTTAACACTAATAGGAAACATACCGGTGGCGCCGAACATACCGGTGGCGCCGAACATACCGGTGGCGCCGAACATACTAAGCATCTGAACGGACCATCAACCGGTGGGGACGAACAAACCGATTCTAGTGAACAAATTGGTAGATGTGTCCTATTCACAGCAAATAATATGCATGTTAATGAAAGGTTTTGTGATAAAGAACCACGTGATCCTGCATATGTGGACAATGATCAAGTTGCCAATACTTTGAGTATTATTTGTATTATTAATGTATTATTTGTTATATTATATTATTAATAGTTAAAATGAAGCTTATGTTAGATATGGCTGCAATTAAATAAATAGTCCTAACGATCCTATAAACCACATTATTCATATCAGAATAGTGGTTAAAAATTGCCCTAAGTGGATTTATGTATTTGTGAAGTTAAAATAGTATTACTCCAACAATTCCCGAGACATCGAACAAGAAACTTAACCAATGTTTTAATGTCCTTTTATTTACACTATTAATTGCACATATAATTAATTATCGTTTATACAATGTGTGTCGACAACGGAGTAACTTATTCTACCAACTAATAATTAATATTACATTTAATTTCAATTAACAATATTTTTAATATCTACTTTGTTTTAATTTTCAGTTAATCCGAAAACAGGAATCATAGACCTTACATATGCGTTCGATAATAATGAGCTCAACGAAAATTTGGACAAAATGTTGCAGGTATATTTTTGATTTATAAGTGGTAATATTTATTGTAATATTATTTATTGTGATAATATTTCGATAAATATTAACGGTAAAAATGTCTATTTTTAGGCACTGTTAAAGAATCATCCAAATAATAGAGAAATTTATGCTGATGCGGAAAAGACAGATATTGCGAAGTGGTTTCCCGATGGTCAGCGATTTAATTGGGTTAAAGATTTAAGATTGACACAAAATTACGATCGGGGGTATCGTAACTGGTACGAACCCAATCCAGAGTTTACCGACGATGGTGATGAACAATATCCTTTAGAGACTATTATTGGTGACTGCATTCTTAAACATGAAGGCCAATGGCAGCGATATTATCTTTGCCTTTGGGAAGGTTATGAATTTGCAACATTAGAATTAAAACCTAATGTGATCATGACAACCCACTACTTTTATTGGATGTACCCGTTATTAGTGACTAATATAAAATCAGCTGGGAGATCATTGGCTCATAGGGGTAAATCATTTGTAAGTTCTAATAAATTAGTACCTACCGATCAATTTAGTGTAGCTTTGGTGGAATTACTTAATTTACGAATGACCAATCTGAAGTATTACCCATCTGTCGGATTTATTAGGTAATATTTAGGCTTTTTAATTGGCTGTAGAATTATGTAATCAGATTGTATTATATCATAGTTTAAGTTTAGCTGAAACAAGGCATTCGGAGGTCAAATTTATTCGTGAACTGTTTAAAAGTTGGCAACCTTTGCCGTTTGGCGTTTACTTGAGTAGTGCCGTTATTGGAATGAATACAAAACGTAAAGTTCAACGAAGAGATAAATCTATCTTTATATGCACTCCTCAAAAAATTAGAGCACAAATCAAACAGGTATGCAAAGTTGATGGCCTAGGTCTCTTTCTAGTAATATATACTAGGCGCATGAATGATGTACATAGTGGAGTTTTGCTTACAAAAACTATCTCTGGACAAATTACATGTTAGTATTATATGAACTTAATTAATTATTATTATACTATATTTTTGGTTTTTTCAGTTTATTTCTACGATCCGTTGCCATCACATAAAGCTGATAAATGTCTGCCGATTGTTATAGAAAACATAATTTTGAAGCATTCACAAAATGCACTAGGATCGATCGTTCGTCGCGGATATGGGCGTCAATCTCAAGGAAATTGTTTGGAATTATGTTTGGCGTTTGTGGCAAAGCACCTTTCAAATCCACAACATTGCGATTCACTTGAATGGACAAATTATCACAAATAATTATTTACAATAACAATTAGATATGTGAAACTATAATTTTAATAAAAATAAACCAAATTAGAATTTATGTATAAATATAATTATTATTTGAATATCCTTTATAAACTTTGCATTAATAGTTGTTTATGTTAATTTAATACAGTGCAATCTCTCTTAGGGGAACTTCTCTTGGGAAACTGAATTTATATATTTGTTGGATTTCCTATACTTATAATGTTAAAATAACCTCTCTCAAGGAAACTTCTTCATTAGGAATACTTTTCCATTAGAAACGGATTTATAGAGATTAAGATAAAAGTTTCAATACCGATAAGGAACCAAGATAATTATAAGCACATGATATTTAAACTACTGTTAAATATTTAGTTAAAATATTTGCAAACATAAGACTTTACAAACAGAAAACACATTTTTATTTAAAGTTTCATTCAAAATTGCAAGAGTTGTGATAATTTATTACTGATAAACAATACATAAAGGGGCGGTCAAGTAATCTTGCGGATCGAGTTTTGGCCATTACTCCTAAACTATAAGAGATAATTAAATTCAGTAAAATGCATAAAATAGAGAATTATCGGTGAAATTTTTTGTATATTTTATTAATTTATTTTTGTCACGTGATATACTCAAAACTAGACGATTCTGAATGGTAATATTATAGGTCCAACTATAAGAGGTATGGCCATGGTTTAATGTATGATTTATAGAGGGCTAAAAGGTGTATTATATAACAAAAATTTTTTAAAAATTTCATTCCAAAGACCAAATATCTTAAAGTTCTAGCCATAAAATTTAATAAAAACTCAATATTCCAATTTAAGATATTTGGTCTTTGGAATG